ACCTCAAAGCCTAGGGTTGACTGACTTTCTAAATTCAGTTCTTACCATTATTATAATTGCTGTGAAAAATATTAAGGTGGACTTCATGGTCAAATTATAAGTAATTAAAGAATAGAGGCATTAAAATGATCCCTTTTTGTTGTTGTTGTTCCTTTTGTATGTTTTCTTTGTAAATAAGGATTTTTCACATAAGACTGCATTTCTCGGGTATCTGCTAATCATCACTTGTTTCCGTTTAATCTCTTATTAAACAACAAAAGTTTTTAAGATTACTAAGACAAAGGATCTCTCACGATTGAATAGGATTGAATAGTCTCGAAGGATCTCTCACGATTGAATAGGATTGAATAGTCTCGCGACTCTATTTATAAGACTTTTAACCATTCTGTTTATAGTTTGAAAAGGTTATATTTGTTTAGCAAATACAGAATTTGTCTTGCAGAATTTAGCAAATACAGGCAGCACATTGTCACTGGGCTCCTCTTGGCACAGTCTTTTGACATCTGAACCATAAAAAATACTTTTCACCTTTCTAACTACCATTTGGCATCCCCCTTTATCAATTTCACTAGTTTTAACAAATTACAATTTAGGGAGGGCTGGAGCGATAGCACAGCGGTAGGGCGTTTGCCTTGCACGCAGCCAACATGGCCAACCCGAGTTCGATTCCTCCACCCCTGTCAGATAGCCCGGCAAGCTACCGAGAGTATCTCGCCCGCACGGCAGAGCCTGGCAAGCTACCCGTGATGCCAAATGCCAAACACAGTAACAACATGCCAATATGCCAAACACAGTAACAACAAAGTCTCCTGATGGAGACGTTACTGGGCCCGCTCGAGCAAATCAATGAAGAACAGGAGGACCGTGACCGTGACAATTTAGGGAACGCGGTTACAATAGTGTTAATGTTTATGGCACTGATGCAGTTACTGTACCCCTCCCCCACCGTGTGCCCGAGACCCTCGGCCACTGTCCTTATGTGACTCTCGCTAGTGTCCCTTGTCACCCCCCAGGGCCCCCTGCCAGCCCAGCTCTACACTTTGTGCTTTTAAGCCTTGGAATTTCTGACTGTCATTTTTATTATTATTATTTTATTTTATAAAGTAGTTCACAGTATTTGATTACATTTAATATTCAAACACCAATCCCACCACCGTATTTCAGATGTTTCCATCCCGAACCCCAGTCCCTGCCCCAAAGCAGAACCAAAATAATATATTTTGTATTGTTTGTTCTGAAAAACCACTGAAAATGCTACAAAAAAGTATCCTTAGAGGAAAGAGTGTGAGGATTATTGTATTTCACCCAGGGACAATTAAGCCCTTTTATAAGGAATCAATAACATGTTGTTAAAGGTTGAGCCTTGTGTGCATCTGTTAAAAAAAAAAAAAATGTATGTTTTCCCTCTAAGACTGGTTGCCTCCTACTCTAACCCTATCAAATGTGGTGCAGTTCTCTTGGAGTCTGGGTAGGGTGTGTGGTTTGAAGTGTCCAGGAGTAGGTTGACTCATGGCTGAGTCTCTGCCTGCACAGCTCTGTGGGGAGCGACCTTGAGCATGGCAGTGGCTGGGTTCTGGAGGTTTTCAGCTGCCAGGACAGGGTCCCTTATGGCGGGGGGTGGAGTCTCACCCGCCCCTCTTTGGGGCACCCCTAGTAAAACCACCTGGCGCGATGACCTTGTCTTTTTACTCACCCTTGGTTACTAGTCTCACACACATTTTGGGGGTTGGAGTGGGGTGAGTGTGCTCAGATATCATTCCTGGCTCTGTGCTCAGGGATCACTGTTGGTGGGGGTTGGGGATTGAACCTGGGTCGGCTGTGTGCAAGGCAAGTGCCCTACCTGCTGTACTCCCATTCCAACCCTCACATACATTCTTTTGGGGGGGGGCGGGAATAGGGGTCTGTGCTCAGGGGTTCCTCCTGGCTCTTCACTCAGGACTTACTCCTGGCAGTGCTCGGGAGGCCATACGGGATGCCGGGGATCAAACCCCAGTTGGCCACGTGAAAAGCAAACGCCCTCCCCACTGTACTGTCACTCTGCCCCCTCACACACCTTCTTAAAACTCTGACCTTTTGGATTTCGGGGCACACCTAGCAGTGCTTAGGGGCTGCTCCTGGCTCTGTGCTCAGGAAGCGCTACATGGCGGAGCTGGGGATTGAGCCGGTGGTTGACCATGAACGAGGCCAGTGCTGTATCTGCTGTACCATCTCTCTGCCTCTTGCTAAACTCCCCGGCACCTCCCTTGACTCCAGTCGTATGTGCACATTTAATAACATCTCACTGCCGTAGCATGACCATGTTCATAATTAAACTCAAGGTCTTTTCCGGGAAACCTACCCTACCTCGAGTTTTCCTGTCTCTGAAAACACATCTGTTTAGTTCCTGAATGAATCGAAGAGAAGCCACAAGTCCACCACGTGCCCTTCTGCGGATGCCACCCTCCCTTCCAGCCAGTACCCGATGTCCATTGATGTCCCTCTACAGCGTGACCGGGGCCTGCTGTGGTTCTGTTAAGCCATAAGCAGCACACGCCTAAACTAGAGCAATAGCGTCTTCCTGGCGCTTATTTTCCCAGGCTTGCCTCCGTCTGCTTTTCTCTCTCAACTCTTGCTTCTCTCCAGTTGGACCTTTGCTTCGCAACGTGTCATCTTAAAGATATGTCCGGTCGGGCTGGAGACTAGTACAGGGATCCGACGCTTGCTTGTCTTGCATGAAGCTGACCTGGTTCCATCTCTCGCACCACCTATGGCCCCCGGGGCACCGCCAGGAGTGATTCCCTGAGCACAGAGCCGGGAGGAATCCCAAAGCCCCACCATGTGTACCTGCTCCAAAAAAAATGCCATGTTTAGTTAGGCCCCTGTTCAGATGCTGCTTCAGATGTCCATGAGGGACTGTCACTTAACAGCCTCCTCTCAAGGCCCCGTGAGAGCCTGTGAGACCTCTTGCCAGTCCCCTGTGCCCCACTCAACCTGGACTCCCTTCTGCTTTGGGATTGGAGTAGCACTTCTCTGCCTCTTTACATTGTTAAGAATTAGATACTGACTTATTATTATTTTTTTAAATGAAGCATTAAAATAGCAGAAAGATCAAAGAGTACAAAAGATAGACCATGAAAAGTAAAGACCTTCATTCATGCTTCTCAGCCTTTTGTGGGTCAGAGTTTTTATTGACTCTGGGGTGTATGATTTATTCATGAACTCTTTCAGTTTTATTTTTATCTTCAAGCCGTCGATCAATGTGAAGTTTATTTTCGGAGTGTCGCTTCAAACTTTTGGAGTCCCAAGGATTTTGTATGAGTATATATGCATATTCACACATATACATATATCATCTCTATCTTGGCATCGTCTGTATTATGGTAGCATTACTTCCTATCTTCCTAAAATGTATAAGTAATACTGTAAAGGTAAATACCTTATGTCTCTTTTCTCTACCAAGGAAAATTTTTTGTTTTTGTTTTGGGGCCTGGGCTGGAGCGTTAGCACAGCGGTAGGGCGTTTGCCTTGTACGTGGCCCGGCCTGGCCAAGCCAGGTTCGATTCCTCTGCCTCTCTTGGAGAGCCTGGCAAGCTACCGAGAGTATCTCGCCCGCACAGCAAAGCCTGGCAAGCTCCCCGTGACATATTCAATATGCCAAACACAGTAACAACAAGTCTCACGATGGAGAAGTTACTGGGCCCGCTCGAGCAAATTGATGAACAACGGGAGGACAGTGCTACTCAGTATAGGGGCCATTCCCGGCAGTGCTCAGGGCTTACACCTGGCTCTGCCATTAGGAATCAGTCCTGGTGGGGCTCAAGGGACTGTATGGGATGCTGGGGATCAAACCTGGGGTCGGCCACATGCAAGGCAAGCACCTTACGCGCTGTTCTATTCCTCCTGCCTCTCTACCAAGATAAATTAAAAATTTTAAATAACATCATCATATTATTTTGAGACTTTTCTGGATCAGTATCCTTTCCCTTCCCCCACTTTGCAGTGGTGTGTGTACGTGTGCTGTTGGGGATCGAACCCAGGGCCTAATAGATGTGAGACACATGCTTTAACCATGGGGCTACCCCCCTGGCCTCTGGATAGATTCATTTACAGCGGAGTTCATTCTTGGTGTTGTACGTTCTGGGAGTCTTCACCAAAATACAATGACCTGTTTCTATCATTATGGTATCATACGGAATAGTTCCACTGCTCTCAAAATGTGCTCCCCCTCCCTCCTCAGTAGCTGCAGTGATCTTTTTACTGCCCTTTGTGGTTCTGCCTTTTCTGGGCTGCCGTGTAACAGGGTCAGACTGCACATAGCCGTTTGAGATCGTCTTCCTCCTCGGAGTCATGTGGGTATTGGGTTTTTCCAGGCCTGTTTGGGGTGTGCTGTCTCAGCTCTTTTCAGTCCTGAATAAATTCTATTGCCTGGTCACACCTTAGTTTCCTATTCATTTCCCCAATAAAGAACATTTTGATTTATTGTGAGTTCTGGCAGTTAGGGAAAAAAGCTTCTTTAAACATCCATATTGCAGATGTTTGTGTGGTAAGAGCATGTTTGGTTTTGTAAGAAAACAAAAATTGTCTTCCAAAGCACCTATACGATGCATCCCCGTCAGCCATGAAGGAGCATTTTCATTGCCCCGAACCCTCGCTCGCCTCTGGTGGTACCAGTGTTCTGGATTTCAGCCGTCCTGACGGGTGTACCTGCCTCACCGTTGCCATAACCGCCTCTCCTCAGTGAGACAGTGATGCGGTGAATCTTTTCACATGCTATTTGTCATCTGTTTATCTTCGGTGGCATGTCCATTTAGTTCTTTTGCCCTTTTAAAAATCAAGTTCATCTGATTTAAAAAAAAAAACTTTTATTATAATTAATGTTGTTGTTGTTGTTGTTTGTTGTTTTTCTTGGGCATCATCTAGTGAAAATACACAGAAAGCTTTGTGGACATGACGAATGATTTGTCTTTTTCAAAGGAAAACGCCTCTCTTTGTGTTTTTCTCCTTTTACCTTTGTCTTTCAGTTATACCTGCCGCCACTTGCGGAGATATGTTTATGTGTTGGACAAACTGTATTCCCCCCACTCTCACTGTTCTACGAGTCAGCGTTGCTTCTCGAGCCCCAGTGACAATGGAGAGGAACTCTTGTCTTTAACTTGCTCTCACATTCTCAGATCCTATGCCTCCAGGTCATTAACCTCTGCTGTCCCTTACTGCATGGTGCATGCTCTGGGTGACCAGTGGTTGCATGTCTTAATGGGGCGCACATCCATTAAATGGGTTTTTAAAAAAAAAAAGGAAGTTATATTTGAAATGACACTAAATGGTTCTTTACGAGTAGTGGCTAGAATTCGTTTCCTTACGAATGTCCCCTTTAAATTACGTTTTATGAGAAAAACGTTCAACCCCACGCTGTCAGATAAGCTTGACAGAACACCCTGTCTTCTGCTTCCTGTGAAAATCAGACTCGAGATTTATAACAGCAGGGAGTGCTTGTGTGCTTTGTGGGTGCAGTAGACTCTGGAGTCACTCCTGATGCCATGTGAACTCCGGGTTCTCTTTCTTGCTCTGCGAGTTCACCAAAGAGTTGTCTCGGGCTGCATCCATGTTTTGACAGGAGCACGTTCCACCGAGCCGGTCCGGCCTTACAAGACTATCGAAATTATCCACTGGCGTCGAGCGGTTCTTACTCACTTTATTTACATAGAGTAGTCGCAAAGCCAGCACGGTGCGATGTGTCACGGGTGGATGTAGATTAAACATACTGATGGTGGGAGTAGAGAGGAGAGACGAGCCATCACGCTCCCGTCTCAGAGAAAGTCAGCGCCCACTGTTGCGTGTGTGTCAAAACGCCAAACACTCGGGCGCCAGGACAGGCCTGCCTTGAGCTTGGAGCTGACGGTTCAGCTCCACTTTCCCTAAGAGATCTGTAAGCGTCCATCGCCGGGCTCCTAGCTAGCTAGGCCATTTGAGAGTAGAGGAAGAAGGAAAAGCCCTTGACCACCTTCTAGAAAATAGCAAATCTTGAGAATGAAACCTCGAAGGGCCAGGGACAAAGCAGAGACTGTAAGCCTTTGCCTTGCAGGCGTGAGTCTCTAGGTTCAGGCCCTGCTACCTTTAAAACATAAAGATCGCCTTTGGGATTAAAATAGAGCTTGGCAGGTAAATTAGCATGCACTCTCCAGGCTAGACAGTCTGGGGGTCAGTGAAACGACCCGGGTTTTTAGGAAAGGCTGACGGTGACCAGTGGACGGTGGCCGCCTCCCGTGAGGGGCCCTTGCCTGCAGGGCAAGTGTTATACTCTGCAGTGGTATCAGTGAAGGTTCAAGGGAAAGAAAAGCCAGTGAAAACAGAACCAGTGTTTCTGTGTATAAAATAGGAGAGATTTTCAAACTGAAACCTGCGGTTTTCCACTTCGTTAGTGAAATGATGGTCAGGTAAGTGAGTACTCGGCGGATCTGCAGATAGGCCCTGTCCACTAGCTAGGAACGGGGAAAGCGGCTCCTGATCTGGCAGGGATTGTTTTGTTTGTTTGTTTGTTTTGGCTCCCACCTGGCTTCCTCCTGGCTCTGAACTCAGGGGTTGGGGGACCGATTGGTGTGTCAGGGAGTGAATCTGACTCGGCCACATGCATGGCAAGTGCCTTACTCCACTGTGCCAAGTCTCCGGCCCAGCTTCTCCTCCCAGTGAGCCTCTTAGTGGCTAGTAGCTAGCGTCACTGAGCTTGCTCTGACTGGCCAGGGTGTTGGTTGGTTTCTCTAGAGAATCAGAGAAGCAGTAGGCTGGATGCATGTGTGGAAGTAAAGATGCAGATGTTCAGATAGACATGAGAGATGGAGAGGGAGGGAAGGGCGTTGGTGAGCAGAGGGCAGGCTGGACACTCAGGTGAATGCCCTCGCTGCTGTCACTGTAAATCCATGAAGCAGGCTAGCAGGTTGGACACCGAGGCAGGGTTTGCGTGTGATCACAGAATTACTCAGGAAACCTCACGCTTTGCTCTGAAGGCCTGTAAACGATTGGGTGAGGCCTTCCTGCCCCACAGGGTAGAGAATTAGTGTTTTTTTTCTTTAAAGTTATTTGGTTCCAAATAAAGTATATTCGTAATGGCTATAAATAAAAATCATACCCGGACATCTGGGCGCCACATTCTAGTCAAGAGGCGCAGAAATGTCCCCTCACCACACTGCACCTCTCACTCTGTGGTATCTCCTGTCCCCCACTGCCATGTGGGTCTTACCTGTCCTACCAGTAGACGCTTCTGGTTGTTCAGCTGTTGGAAATACCGTCCTGCGGGAAGTTGCCTGCAGTGACTCCTGTATCGATTTTGTTCTGCCCAAGAGAGGTACCCGAATGTATGAATTCTTACAGTTTTTGAGTTTCTGTCGCAACCCTGCTGAACCTTTTTCTTTAGCTTAAATAGTCATGGTTATGTCAGCCCACCCCCAGACAGAGCCTTTCTACATGGCTTTGTCGTCTTCTCCTCCCGGGTGATCTATATCCATCAGCTCAACGCCCATCAGAAAACTTGGGAACCAGAATTGGATGTGCCTCACCCAATATTAAATACGTACTTTATTGCAAGTGTACTTTATCATTTTTGGAATCAGTAAATCAAGACTAGCACCCTCCCAGCTGCATGACCCCTATTTGAACATTTGAACTTGTTGCTAGGAATTGAACGAAATCCATTATTTTGCCTAAATTGTCGCTAGTTTTAAATTCTTGAAGTGAATTCTTAGGTATTAGAATGGAGAAGTGGATACTTCTAATGAGAACTCTATCAAGAGAAAATACCTCAGTTTATTTTATTTCTGAGTGGTGTGTGTGTGTGTGTGTGTATGTGTGTGTGTGTGTGTGTGTGTGTGTATCTGTCTGTCTGTTCTTCCCTGTTACCAAAACTGGGCTGCAAGCCCCATTTCAGTTGGATTGAGATAAGAGCAACTGTCGGAAAGTCGGGTGTTGAGGAGGTTTGATTTTAATGGCCTCGTTTCTTTTGAGTTGCCATGATTCTTGGATGTGCCGCTTTCTGATGCTACAGGGCAGAAAAAGAACACAAGCAACTTTCAAAATGATTTTTTTTTCTCACAGTACTGTTGGGAAGACATTCTGTTCCCTTCTCAAGTGAGGCATGTAAGCAGCAACATTCTAGGCTGGTCCCTACTTTGCCAGTGTCCACGGTTTCTGAGCCTTGGGCTATCCAAGGACTTCTTGAGAAGCGAGTGATCCTTCTGAACCTCTCCAGAAGACACAAGTAGGGCATTGGGCCTCCAGAGAGCCAAGCTCAGCGTGGACAGGGCCCTGACTGAGTTCACCACTCAGACGCAGCCGCCGTGAAGGACGCAGACAGGGCGGCTCTGCCTTCTAGACTTTTCAAGACCTGAGGCCTCCTGCCTCTCCCTGCCCCGCTCCCACCGCCGTGCCCCCAACCAAGAGAGCATAAGGGCTCACCGTCAGTTCTTGTTCCCGCCCTCAGGAGACTGGCGGGGGCCGGGAGTGGGCACAGGGCTGCGGCTTTGGTTCAGACATGGCCTAGACATAGAGTAGAGTACCTGTGTACCCTGCTCAACAGCCTCTCACGGGTGGAAGGGGAGACCGTTCCAGGGAGCCCAGTTCCTGTCCCAGGTAATCGAATAAGCAGATGGTTCCTCAGTGATGGTACGGGGTTGGCTGAATTTGTTTCTCCAGGTTTTATTATTATTATTATTATTATTATTATTATTATTATTTTTGCATCACACCTGGCGATGCTCAGGGGTTACTCCTGGCTTTGCACTCAGGAATCACTCCTGGCGGTGCTCAGTGGACCATATGGGATGCTGGGAATCAAACCGGGTCGGCCACATGGAAGGCAAACGCCCTACCCGCTGTGCTATCGCTCAGCCCCCAATTACTATTTTTTAAGTGAATCATTGTGAGATACACAGTTGCAAAGTTGTTCCTGACTGGGTTTCAGTCGTACAATGTTCCAACACCCATCCCTTCTCCAGTGCGCCTTTCCCACCACCAGTGTCCCCAGTTTACACGAGGCGTTCCTGGTGAAGGAAAAATAAACCTCTGGGGCAAGTCTCGCCTTGTTAGGTAAACATAAAATTGCTGATTTGCAAAAAAGAGATTTCTTGTCAAAGGACCTGAAATGACCTGAAACGAACCCGGTTTGAGGGCTCAGAATGTGACAGAGTGATCTGGCGGTTCGTGCCGGGCTTGTGTAAAGCTCTGAATTCAGCCCCTGGCACCACAGATAAAACCCACAGAAGCAGGCAAACAATTCAGAATCCACACAGGACTCGGGCAGGAGTTTCAGTGAAAGGTGATGAACGCTCAGGTGTGAGAGCAAGTCTGGAAAGGGCCAGTGCAGAGAGAAAGACACAGGTGAGGCAAAAGGTGATATCTCTGGGAACGGTGCGTGGCAGGAACATGTATGTTGGAGGTGTGCGTGGGCATGCAGCTCATATTGATAGCCAGCGATAGTCTCAGCCATCGAGGCCAGGCCAGGGTGCCTTATGGGTGGTTTTCCCCCCTCTTTTGGCTGCTGGTGGTGGGGACCGCTGTCTTTGATAGTGGAGTTCTGTGGGCAGATGGCCTTACTGCGCGTTGAGTCTGGGAGCAGCCCTGTCAAGGCGTAATATGCCCCATGTTGGCCCTGCAGTTGAGGAAAGATTCTGAAGGGAAGGGTCAGGCCAGAGCAGACGAGGTGTGATGGTGGGAGCAAAGGTGAGAAGAGTCCACAGAAGTGCCTTGGAGAGTGACGATGGACGAGCCATTGTGGACTAAGGGAACTCTGGTCCACACAGAGACCGTTCAGCGTGAGCAAGGAGTCGAACTGGGCCATGACCGTGGGCCCTTGATCTTCCTCGTCTTGGTGACAGACAGGGATTACTTCCTGCCCGCATTTCACACCAGAAGAGCCTGCAGATTTCCTTGTTAGTTAAAAGTGTCTAGATTTTTTTCAAGAATAAAGACTTATTTTATTTTTCAAGAGTAAAGTTGTCCAGAATTTTAGAAACGAAACAACAGACTGGTCAGGTAGGTCTTGTCAACTCCATGAAACTTCTTGTAGTAGTAAAAATATTATTTAAAAAAAGAAATATGGAAAAGATTGGGTGTAATGCTAAGTGAAAAAATACTAGACGTGTGAACAGCAACAACAACAACAAAGACACAAAGGAGAATACAAACTACTTGTAGACAT